TCCTGCCCTTTGGCATTATACAACACAAGCAAACGCAGACAAATAGAGAGAGACAATTAAATACAGTAAAAACCCGCGTATAAGAACCTAGTGATTAAGAAGCTGTTAGGTTAAGATTCCTCCGAGCCTCAACAATATTCCTAGCGTAGGGCTAGATCGAGTAAAAAAACCATCGTCACAGACGTCAACAAAGTAATACACGGACAAAGCCTAGTCTACATCAATAACCTTTGTAGACGCTCTTGCACTCTCTACGACCTTTGAGGGCAATTCACTCGTGCTCACCCGATTTCATGCATTACCTCTTACCGTAAGAGATCCTTTCAATACGATGGTGCATGTCTACGGAACATAGAAATATATTGAGACACTAGTCTAACTAGTATATTATATCTATGGTACAGAACCAACTATAACCCGGCCGACATCCGTCAGTCTCCTGGGGTCGTGGCGGGTTCCATTCGGCTGATGCGCAATATGCCGTTGACCCTAAATACCCAATTCTAACATTACATGAGCGCAGTACTTGCAGCACTTTTATAACACAATATGATGCTATTCCCGGAATTGGCTCAACTATGTGATAAAAACTATTATTGACTGTCTTTGGTTACAGCGTGTTCACCATATGTGTGTGTCAGTATGTGCGCAAGTATGCGCGTTGTTTCCTTATATATTGTCAGCTGTTCTACCAGCTGCTATATTGTATTCCTTCTTTGTTAAGTGGACATTTTATTTGAGGCAACGTTGCTCTCCAGTGACCTGTAATTTCGACGGTATGAAATTCGATCTTGCTGCTGACTGAGTAGCTCTAGTACTATAGCCCGCGTTCATTAACTGCCGTAGGCAAGCCTGCGGCAGTTAAAGAACGCGAGCTATAGTACTAGGGCTACTGACTGAGCTGCTATATCTTTCTTAGCATTTTAGTAATGTTTGTTGTTCCGGAGTGCACATCCGTCACTTTTATCGCCTTTATGACCTACCCTGATTTAATATCTTGTGTTGTTACGTGTAATCGCTGCGGTGTATTTCTCCAGCAGCTTATATTTCAAAATGTACAAGTGCGGTCTGTCGTTTCCTGACTGAATTGACACATTTCAGTGTTCTTTAATGTGGCTATAGCTGTGATCAAAACAAGAGCTTACAATTGTTATAGTTTTATTTAGTATCTAAACGTGGTTAATTACCAGTGGGAGTGTTGTTCCCGTCCGTATATCAGTTGCTTTCGTCAGTTAATTGTTGAGGCCGTCATCTTTACTGTTGTCTCACACAAACTTAGATATACAACACGTGTTTTAATAACCTTAGATGCGCATACGCTGTATAGTAGGCACTTTTTGTCTTCTGCTTTTTGCTTTTTGCTTTTTGCACTTTTTGCTAGCTTCTGGCGTTATCTCGTGTTAATTGTTTAAACTAGCACTTTATACTGTGCTGACGTTAAGGAGCTTGGCAGTGCTAGCCCATGTTCTTACTTTTAGCAGTATATCTTAATTACATCATATTAAATAAATATATATATATATATTTATTTATTTATTTATTTGCATAACTAGGTATTTCTGCGAATAATTAATTGTTTGTGGCACTATATTTAGTAAATGAGTAACCCTAACCCTAACATAGACTTTTAAAACTGTATTTTTTAGAATAAGATTTTATTAATATTTTTTTTAAATAGAGACAATAATCAAGATCCATGCAAGTAATCATAGTTCGTAGCAACGCACGTCTATACGCACATACTTTCATAGTCAAAAAGAAAATATGATCTTCGTTTAGGTTGTGTAGAAATAATATTCTGATAGGCACGTTTGTCTCTTCTCTGTCGCAAATCATCTTAAAACATCAAACTGCAACTTATAGTTTGAAAGAGTTACTGAGACGGACTAATCGAGTGCGTCGTCGCGCAGCTGCCTAGCTGACACGTGACCATTGGTTACTACTGGAAAGTGGAAACTGGTTCAATACCTTATGACGGGAACTTGAGAGGATGTGACGCGTCATCTGCCGACCAATCGGAGGGCCCGCAGCCCGTGCACTTAAACGGATGCGATGTTTTGCGGTTGCATTATTTGGGCTGTGTACATAGAGATGTATAAATAAACTATTTATAGATCTCTATGGCTGTGTACCATAAAAACATAATCGAGACGATTCGAGAGACTAAATAATATATTAGAGCTTAACAACAATTAAGCGCCAAACAAATATATATTTCTGCTCTGGACGTGATGCGGTCATGATGCCGAAGCGCGCCGAGGATTGACACTTTGTGTCTTCCAATCACAGCGTACGCCGCACCTCTCTGTTATAATTTCAAAGGTGGGACCCATTGAGGTACGGAATCGCCGATCTCAAGAACCCAGGCATTCTGCTAGGCTAGAACGGTTTCCTACGATAGAGTTTGGCACAAAAACGAAAATAGCACGCCGTTTAGCGCACGGCGCTACGTCTTTTTGTTGCATTAACGCATCTCTGTTATTCTTTACGCCTGAATGCGTGATTAATTAGGGAGGGGTGCATGTAAGAGGGAGACATCTTCTTTGGGGTTCCGAAAAACACAATTCCACTTGACAATTTCATGGGCCATTTCAATCGAAAGCTCTATATAATGGACCCCCAACAAGCCCTTTGACTGACTAGTCAAAAAATTGAAAGGTGTGCATGTATATTGCTCTTATTTAGCCGCCGATAGTTCTTATTTAGAACAAAGTCTTCATTGTTATCTTCTAAAACTACAGACCATCCGCTGACCGCTGTGGAGACGTGCGCCGGGCCGCGAATTTGGCGCACGTCTCCACTGCGGACAGCGCTTCATACTTCAACATCCCCGCGGTCGCGTGCGCATATTCCGCGGAACTGCGCGTCTCACCCGCGCGCAGCGCTCAGGATCCACAGCAAAGCTGTGCCACGCAATCTTGTATCATGTCTCTCTGGTTAACGCGTGTACTAATAGCATGCATATAAAGATGAGTGAATGCATGCTTACTGCAGGGCCGTAGTGGCCTCCCAAAAAGTGCCACTGCAGAAATATGTATCCAATGCGGAAAATTTTTGAAATGTAGAGCCTGGAAATGGCATTTCCTGCATTTTCAGGCTATGTTGAAAGCAACCAATTCTGATCATTTTAAAAGGTCAATTTGTAAATTTCAAAGAGGAATGTAGCTAAAGCTGATGTTTTGACTAAAGTATCTAAAATATAAATTATGAGTATGACAACTAATAAAACATTATTTACAAAATTGTATATAGATGGGGGAACGGGGTGGTACATTCCCACTTTCCCAGCAAAAAAACACCCCATATCCCAGTTCCCAGTAAAATAAAATCCCAGTTCCCAGTTCCCAGGAAATTATGTAGACATGTTTCAGGAAATTCAGTAGTTTAGGTTTTCAAACAGCCCGCGTACACATACGCCAGCGGCCTGCGTTTCATGCACGCCCGCTATTATTTATACACACCTGTATTTGTTCAAATTCAATGATAGGTTTCATAAAATAATTAAACAGTGATTCAAAGAAATGTGCTGTTTCAACTCAACCGTTCTTGATTCGCCAGGCGTCTGCCTCTGATATCCCTCTGCCGCCAAAAACTGCAGTTTATCAAGAATTTATAGACGGGAGTAAAGTGGCCAAATGGTTACAACTCCGCAAATTTAAATACACCAATTAAGTTCCTTACTTAACTCACCCCAACTTGCGTCTGCTGCCACCAGCTGCCATAACCAAACCTGCTAATAAGTTTAGAGCAAGATATCTCAATGCTAATGATCATGGGGGGGGTACATTCCCCTTTTCCCAGCAAAAAACACCCCATATCCCAGTTCCCAGTAAAATAAAATCCCAATTCCCAGTTCCCAGGAAATTATGTAGACATGTTTCAGCAAATTCAGTAGTTTATGTTTTCAAACCTTACATAAATACTAATATTTACATACTATTATTTATCTGGGCATAATTAATAAAAAATAAAAATATATTAATAAATTAAATAAATATTAGCGCAGAAATTAAAATCCCGATGAATTGACACAATTTTCCCAGATCCCAGACAATTTTAGAGGGTCTTTCCCACGTCCCGATGGACTTCTGTTCCCGAATCACGGAAAATTTATCTGACATTTCCCAGTTCCCAGGTAATTGAAATGGCCAATCCCGCGTCCCGAAAATACCCGTTCCCCCCCTCTATATACTATCAGTACCTAATTATGAAAAATAAGCCTATTTTCAATCTGCATTTATACTTTCACTATGTACATCTGTATGTTTTGAAGTTTGAATTTGAATAGGCACATTTTCATATTAGATACACATTCCAGAATTTTTTTTCTTCAAAATAGTGCCACGGCAGTGCCGTGCTGCCGTGGCGGCCACTACGGCCCTGCTTACTGCCAATGTAAAAATCTCTCAAAGTATATTCGGCTCTGTCTCAGGCACGTGTATCATCCTGATTGTATGGTGTCTGTGAGCAAATTTGCGATAATTTTTCATGACATCGTTCATCATATGGCAAGAACCTCATGGAACTCAACTGAGGCACATGTTTATCTTGCTTTAATAGTGCTACTCGGCAAGTAATAGTCAATAATTACTTCCAGTACGGAGACGTACGTACCCTCATCTTCCTCATAGACTCTACTTTCGCGTTTGCGCGCCATCTGGAGGATAAAATTGTCAGTTTCAGCATTTATTACATACCAGACAATAGAATTCCGATCGCGCGACGTAGGCTGATGCAGTGGGGGTGACAGGCACAAACATTCCTACTTATCGGCTAATAAATTGCAAATCGCGCAAGTATAACGGCCCAAGCAATACAACAGTGCGTGTAATAGCAGCTACATGATACCGTTTCCAATCTGCAACTCGCGAGCTAGTAAATCTCATATAATAATGGCGTTCAGATGGGAATCTCACCCCTCAGCTTGACGGAATACATTGTTCCAACGCAACCGGTTTTATTTACGTACGGACGCCATCTCACCTGTGCCGCAGCTGCTTTCAAATGTTGTGACGATTCCCTGCATACCTTCCCGATTGCTCTGCAGTACTACGATGAATGAAGTAGCGTGAGATTGACAATCTATCCTGCTTTCGTGATTATGAGATTGTAGGATCGCAATAATAAAAGACCACACACAACATGGACAAGTCTATGAAGAATAAGAGTAAGTATATTCGAGTCGTGAACGCTGTATGTGTAATGTGATGCGGTGGATACAGGTGTGACCCAACATGGCGCCCACCATTATCCGAGATAGCCACTGAACTTCTATCGTAGACAGGATTCCCAACGTGCGTCGCACAAGGTTTTATTATAGATAATCCATGGTTTCCAAGTTCATTGTTAATTAAAATCCTGATTTCCTTCGTCCCACCTGATATATCGCTCAGTATCTGTTCCCGAATCACGAATTTTTCCCCTGTTACTAGTACTACTACTAGTAGTAGTAGTAGTAGTAGTTCCCACATAATCCAAAAAATAACCATTCCACTGATATATATATATATAATATATATATATATATAATTATATATAGTACCATAGTTTATAATGAATGATGCTAATGATCTTACCTTGCAGGTGCATCGATTGCCTCGTCATTGCAATCTGGTTCATATCGATCAGGATATCAATCGTCTGACATAACAATCGAGCACGGACAAGCCGTTATATATACCAAACAACCTTATATAGTTGGGGTATGTGGTAATAGCTATGACTAGTAATATCACGTGTTTTCCTTTGTATCGCATGCTGCTACAATGCAGGTAAAACCATCACAGTGTAAGCAAGGCTTATAGGGTCTATGTCCCACAGGGTACTATCGGAGGGTACCCTGGGTACAGTTCGATATATCGCAACGTACCCTGGTAACTATCTGATATGGTTAGGGTTAGGGAGTAGGCGTATGCGACTCCCTAGACTCGTTAGTGGAGTAGGCGAGGTACGGTCCGGCATATTAGATAGTACCAGGTTACGTTCCGATATATAGAACTGTACCCAGGGTGACATAGACCCTCTCAGCATAAGCAAGCTAGTTGAATTATACTTCATGCTAGTATTTGTATATAAACTGTGTTCAAGTTCATCTGTGAAAATGAAACCTAGTTCGTTTGGTTCTATAAGGGGGCCTACTGCCTGAAAAGCGACCAATTATTATTGAATTCATGATAAATGATGCTAATGATTAAATTCGTGATCTTTGCAGGAACCAGGAAAGCATTTTATTATCGTTGAACAGAAGAGAAAACCAACATCATACATCGCGTGGGCCATACTTGTTACACTGGTCTGCTTCTTCCCAACTGGAATTGCAGCAATATACTTTGCCCGCAGAGTAAGTGGGCACATAGTATATATTGTGATTCTGGTATTGTAGCACACAAATCAGTGTCCTGGCTGTCAGTGGTTTGAAAAATGTGGGACCAGGGTGTGTAGTACTGACTCAGGCTTTTTGCAGTTTATATAATAGTTGTTTCTACTATTAATTGTCTCGTGAGTATCTCTATTATTTCAGTTGTAAGTTACTAAGATCTAGTAAGTAGCTAACTTTTATTTGCTCATAGACAATCCACTGTACTCATTATATGCTCGTCTGTGTTCTTTCAGTGCAAACGCGAGATGAAGGAGGAGAAGGTGGCAGTTGCAAGAGATACATCCGTCACAACTAAACGTTGGATCATCTGCACAGTGTTTCTTGGTCTCGTTATCTGGGTGGGCGTGCTCGTGCACGTGTGCACATGGTACGGCATACACAACCACTGGGCCACTCCCTGGTAGACAATGTGCTATAATTAGCATATTATACTCACTACTGATCTCTCTTCCATCCTCCTAAAACAAGCTACTTGATGCATACTTTTATTGGCACATATAAGTCATGTTCACTGCAGCATCAGAGGGGATATCGTGTGTATCAATATAAATTTTGTGTTCCTTGTTTGCAGTTGTAAATTGTAGAGATTTGTGAACAATAATGTTTGTTAATCTTGTTCAGAAGCCAAATGAAAAAAAAACGAATAAATTTTTAATAGTCAGATCAGCATCAAAAAATGTATGTGCTCCCCATAATGCGGTTGGTTTCCATAACGCATGATTACGTGAGACTTGGGCGGTGTGAAGACTGGCCCATTATACACGCAGTCGTCCTTGGCTGACCTCTGTCGCTGCAAACAATCGTGTGAGAAGAACTCCGAGTTTGCTCGAGGAAGCAATGATGTGGTATAACTTTTTAACCTTGCGATGTTTGAAAACAACAGTAGAACAGTGGAGAGAATTCTGTTTCGGGCGGTGTAAATATCGTGATGAAGGGCAGCTGTGTCTTGCCCCATGTGCACAGCACGTGGTTGCATCAAATTATAAGTCGACACTGTAAATATATGAACAGAGGCATTTTTAATGTCAGTATGAACAAATTGATGTTTTTTGTATCGTGTTAGATTTTACTATGCTAATGTTATCGATTTTACACAGTTGCCGTCTTATATCGTACGCCTCTTGAGGGTTTTGTCTGGAAATTAATCATTGCCATGCGCACTAGCGACTCACACGTGTACACATCTAACGATGTACGTGAATCTCAGCGTTTTATATTTTACACCTGTAGTACGTAGACTGTTGATAATAAACTCTGTTTAATAAGGAAATTGTTTCGCTGTTTATTACGGCGTTGTTATTTAGCGGGAGAGAACAGTTTCTTGCAAGTACACAATCGACGGAGGAAGACGATACTCTTGGTTCACACGGCTCTTGTGATTCGCACATATTTGTATACAAAATAATATTTACACAGCGATTAAAGATGGGCTACTTTAGCGTTTAGCTGTTATATTTACTGCGCCCGGAAGATAGAGACTTTCCAGGCTCCCTTACGCCAGCCATCTGTTCGCACCAGGAGAGACTAAAATGCTAGTGCAAAGAATCATCGCGGGGTGTTCAGTTACACGCCACTTGCTCCTCCACCCATATAGACGCACTGGCCACCAGAGACGGCTCTGGTTGGCCGAAAGATGCATGGTATGGTATGTGCACAGCATGCCGGGATGCTGTATGCACGCAAACCAGACTCGGAGGTGATGTTATGATTTCGAACGTTGGCGCCCAGATGCCTCCAAGTTCCATATAGACTGTCTTTTCTCCACGGAAAATGTTGTTTACGAGGAGTTTGACCCAAGATCGCGACGCACGAGGTAAGTAAAGTATTACTTCAGCTTGCGTAAATTAATTCTCTCTGAATATCCATCCCATCGATTAATTCTCACCTTACTCATTCTCTTTTACCTCACTTGAGCGATGAGCGTTTGCGAAATGTTTTCAGTGCAGTTATATGCTAATATATAGTCTCGTTGTGTGTACTCCGCATAGTGGGTGGCGTCTTGTTGATGTGATAATTCGAAGTGAAATGCATTCTCAATAATACAACGTCTTACACTCTCAGCTCAGTCGTATGTTTAACAGATTCACATCACAACACTAGCTGATATAACCAGAGCACGTATATCATATCATATACGTGCTCTGATATAACTGAAGAATATTAGCCCGAGGTAGAAACATGAGCGTATACTGATGGTTCTGTTATGCACACGCGTACGCGCGGCGCAAGTGCGCATACACACACACACACACACACACACACACACACACACACACACACACACACACACACACACACACACACACACACACACACATATATATACACACACATACAGGTATACATTCACTTTACATTCACTTCACAACACTAGCTGCGATGTAGATTTCAACGCGTGCATCTTCTCTAGAATCTTCGATACATGTCAGAGGAAAGCCCAATAGAAATTATTTCATAGCACGTAATCTTCTCATTGGCAGATTCACTAGAGTTATTTACCACAGTTTC